CCCGGTGAACATGCTATGTTTCCTTGTCCACCCTCTGGCTCTCATACACTTGGGCACATGCTGTTTTGTCTGCTCAGCACCCATCTGTCCACCAGGGAACTGCTCCTCCCCCAGCCTGTGACTCCCAGAGATTCTGGACCTCTCTCTGCTGTGGCCCAGGTCCGAGCAACCCCAGCTCTCATCTGTATCATTTTAGGGTTCACAAGAGGAACAAACTTAATATAAAATCTATATATGAGGGGTTGAGGATTTAGCTCAGCAGCATAAATCCCTGCCTTGCAAGTGTGAGGTCATGAGTTCAATCCCTCGTACCAATAAAAATGAAAAAGACAAAAAATAAAATAAAAAAAATCTATATATGAATACATAAAGGATTTACAGGTGGGCTTACAATGCTGCCTGCAGAATCAGGGTGGAAGGAAGAAGATGGTCCTCTGTGCTCTGGAGAGGCAGGAGACCTGGAGCTCACTGCAGTCTGGTAAGTCTGTGCCAGCCAGAGGGTCTGAGTTAGAAGATTAAGAGTCTGTGCTAGAAACCTGAAGGAGCTGGAGACGAGCATCCAGAGATGATGGTGAAGATTGGAGCCCTTCCTGTGAAGGGAACACTCCTTCCTTTCCCATTCTACCCTGGCCAGGTCACAGGCCTATAGGTTGGTGCCACCCACACTGGGCTGGATCTTTCCCCCTGTGTTCGCAGGCACTTGTCAGCGGTCCACAGACACACCTGGAGCTTTACCAGTCTGCTTGGTGGGTCTTACCCCTGTGGAGCTGGCATGACACAATAAACAACCACACCATCCCCAACCAGAGCTGCAAATCCATGGGTCACCTCGAGATCCATTCAAAGCCCTCCCATCAGACTCGAAGCACAGAGCAAAAGGTCTTTGCTATCATCTGTTTAGATCTTGGCTGACAGCAGCCTTGGGCCAGCAGAGAATGAGACCAACACCCAACAGAACCAGAGCCCATTAGAGAAGGAAGAAACTGAGTCAGAGAGAGGAGCCAGCAGGAAGAGCTCACGGGTGTGCTGAGCGCTGGATCTCACTGTGTCTGCAAGCACTGGGACGCGACAGTGAGCAGAAGTGTGAGCAGGAGTCCTGCCTCCACTCACACACTCGATGTGTTCCAGGGTGATTTCATACAAACACTATGTGAGATGTTGTGGATTCTGGTGCCTTTCTTTTAAAGTAACAAGTTTAATCTGAGAGCCTGTAGAAAGCCCACCCAGATGAGATGGATAGGAAAAGAATGTACATTTTTCCCACCAACCTCTGAAATGAAACATTTTCTGGAGGTCCCCATGCAGGGATCAGATCTACAGAGTGTGCCCAAACTTGTCCCCAGGAAAAACTGCAGATCAGTTATCCGGAGCTTAAAATCATAGGTAGTGTGTTACAAATTTGAACTATTTGTTATTCAACCCATTGCTAGAGTGCAATATTCAAACTTCCCTATGACGAATGTGACCATTACCTATGTCTAACATGTATCAATAAACTAAATTAAACTCTGCAGAGAAAAAAAAATGAAGTGTAACATTCAGTGTATAAATAAGAAGCAAATGGATCCCATTTTAAAACAGTTTGAAAACTGGGTTCTGGTAAAGCTGGTTTCGTTTCTACTGAATCTGACACTGGGCGGTTAGAAGCATCCTCCTGAGAGGAAGTCTGCAGACTTTACCAGAATGGGAGGTGTACGGATCACAGGAGGTGGGAGAAATACCCAGGATCAAATCCAGTGGAACATCCGAGGCCTGGTGCAGATGACAGAGGAGCATGATGACATCAGAGTCACCGCGCGGGCGGGAGACACTGCTGGGGTGTAAGGGCCAGCATGGCAGAGAGGATGCCAGGAGGGGTGCAGGCAGTGGGGGCAGAGGCACCTAGGAGGGCAAGGAGGGGGCTGCCTGCACTGGTCAGGCTGGTGGTGGCACAGGCACACCTGGCAGCACTGCTGACTTTGGCCATCCCCTGCTTGGAGCTGGGGTGACAAATGCACCCCCTCCCAGAACACCTTACTGCATCCCTGTGCCATGGAAAGGGCTGCAGCCAGAGTGTGCTAAAGGGCTAGATTACAGCCCTTCAGCAGAGTTAGTCAGTGCTCTGGGTGACAGCAAAGACACCACGCAGGGAGCAAACAGCAGCAGCAGGGCCCAGCAGCCATCCTGTACACTCTGCTGCCAGTGCAGCCCCCAACTTTCCATGTGGGTTCAGGGAAAGAGCCCTCTGTGGACTGACTGCAGGGGTCACAAGGACAGAGGGGACCCAGGAGGGGTCCAGGGCACCTGGAGCCTTCAGAATTCCGAGTGCCTTCCCTCTTCTGGCTTAAGCAGGTCCTCTGTGTGCTGGGGTAACCAGGGAGGACACTTAACTTGGAGGCCGGCCAGGAAGAACCCTTACCAAGGGACAGGGACTGTGTAGGGGTGATACAGTGACAGGTCCCCCACCCCCACCCTAGCATCTACCACAGCAGTGGGACCATCCTGCCCCAGGGCACTTCTGGTCATATTCAGAAGTCACCTCTCTAGACCTGATGCCAGTCTCCAGCCCTGAAGAGGCCATTCCTTCCGCTCCCCGGTGCTTACCCCTCCCAGGTCAGTCTGGACTCCAGTGCCCACACCACAGCTAGATGTGACCTGTCAGCTCTTCCGGAAGTGAAGTGCTCCCCACTTGGGCAACCTTGGTCTGGCTCCAGCCGCCACACACCATACACGCTAGCCAGACAGAGACAGAAGAGGGATCCCTGTCCCTGTACAGCTGCTAAATGATGCTTGGAGCCAAGCAGCATCTGTGTCCTTAAACTGTCACAACTGAGCCTCCTTCTCACTGGATGGGATTTAGACACCCTGCTCCTCCGCATATTCCTGATGCTGAGGTTCTCGCAGGGACATGGAGAAAAACTACGGAGGAGACCTTAAATAGTCACACCAGCACTCCTGGGGAGGCTCAGGGACAAACTGGCCGGCAGGACAGATGTCTGTGATATGCCCGAAATGAACATAGGTGGGACAGTAAGTGGGTCAGAAATGAACTGTAGCTGGGTTCATCTTGCTGATCTTCTGCATGTATACAATAAAATGACAGACAACGGGAAGACAAACCGGGTCACTGTGGGGTCCAAGCCACCAGGCTTGAGCAAGGGTAGTAGGAGGCTGCTCTCCCCCATGTGGGACATACTTGGGAGCTTTTGGAGGTCTCACTTCTGCCCCACCCCTTGTCCATAGGCTAGAGAGCTTTAGAAGTCCTGGGCATCCCGACATCCAGGAGGGGTGTCTGGTGTACATCAGCCTGGCTTCTATCAGGCTTGGAGCACAAGGGTCTGAAAGCACTCACCCACAAGTGCCACTGGCCCTCTGGGCTGCAGGGCCCCTTGAGACAGCCTGTGGCCCATTTGTCCTGACATCCGTCCTGCAGGGGTGGCAGGAGAGTTGTCAGCAAGCGTTCAGGGAGTACAAATCCACTTTCCTGGCTACTTTCCACCCATCTGTGCTCCTTTGTCCTCCATGGTCCCACAGGGTGACCTTCCCTGAACAAATGTGCACACATGTGGACAGTGATGTCTTGACCCCCACATGTGGCTCCCCAGACAGAAGGCTCCCGTCCAACTGTCCCCCACCCTGGGGCATGTGAGCGGCTCTTCCATGGCAAGCAAGGGCACAGCGCTTCAGAGGCGGCCCAGCTGGGAAGCACCGAGGAGCACACCCTCCGTGTCCACAGTACCTGCACCCTTGTATACACACACATACAAGTGTGCCCGCTTCCCACCTCTGGGCTCAGGTGCTGGGACATCAGTCCTGACCAACCTTGTCCTGAGAAGAAACCCTGAACCAAATGCCAAATGGTCCAGACTGTGCATGCTGGAAGGGAAGCAGAGGGCAGAAATCTGGGCTCCTTCCCTGTGATCACCACCACCACTGAGCCCAACCTGTCTGCAGGATGGGGACAGCAGACAGCTGAGGCCCGAGGTTGGCCAGAAGCAAAGCAAATGAAGGGCTGAGCTCTCAGTCACACACCCCCCCTCGCGCGCGCAGACCCAGCCGACCTTTGAGGCTGAGGGTCTGCCTTGGCTCCTTCTCTAACGCTACAGCCTTTGATCCCCCAGCACCCACTGCCACCCAGTTGAGGGCCACCTACAGCCCAGGAACTGGGCCTGGCTTCCCACACTGGGGGAAAATCCTGGCTGTTTTTGCTGGAATGGGGCCCCTGGGTGGGGTGGGGGCTTTTGTGTCTCTGGGCAGAAGCCATGGCCAGGTCTCCACACCAACTTCTGAGTGCCCCCTCAAAAGCTTAACTGCAAACCCCAGGAGCTGTGTTCAGGCCCCTTTGCCACGTGGCACAGAAACAAGGAGCATTTAGCAAAGCTAGGCATGGGGGGCACAGCAGTTGCCCGCCTACCTCACGCTGGGAAACCAGGGCCTAGCTTGGAGGGGCCTGAGCCAAGAGTCCAGGGGCCTGGTGCACAGCAGGAGCCAGGAAGATGGGCATCCAGGCCCCCGGAGGTACAAGTGGTTCACAGGGAGGAAGAGGGGGAAGGGCACCTCACCTTGGAAATGCTCCCTGGACCAGCAGAGGCCAAGCCCCAGTAGGGGTGACCTCTGGCATTGCAATGGGGCGGGGGGGGGGGGGGCAAGTGGGGAAGAAGAAGAGGCCAGTAGGAGGGAGGAGGGGAGAAAGAAGAGAGGAGCAGAGGGGAGCGGGGGGGGGGGGGGGGGGCAGAGGGGAGCAGAGGGGAAGGGGGCTGGGGGGGGCAGAAGAAGGAGGGGGAACAGAGGGGAGTAGTGAGGAACACGGGGGGGGGTAAATGTAAGAAGGGGGACCAGAGAGAAGTAGCGGGGAGCAGAGGGGTGCAGTCTCAGGGAGGTGAAGCAAGGAGAGAGGCAGAGGAGGGAGGGAAGCGGTGTGGGGGAGGGGCGGGAGAGGGGCGGGGCCGGAGTGCGGGAGGCGGGGCGGGGCCTGCGCGCGCACCGCCCCTCCGCCCCGCGCCGGCGCCCGCGCCCTGGCGCCGCAGCATCCCCGCGCGCCGAGCCCTCGTCCGCGTCCCCGCCGCCGCCAGCGTCTCCGCCGCCGCCGCTGCCACCGCCCCGGCCGCGGCCACCGCCGTCGCCATTCCCGACCCGGCCCGCGGAGAACGCGCCCAGGTGAGCCCGCGGGCGGGCAGGTGGCGGGGCCGGGACCTCGGCGCCCCCTCCCGGCCCGCGCCCACGCCGGACCCTGCCCGAGCGCCGGCCCTTGGGCCTCGCGGGTCCTCTCGGGTCCTCCCGGGCCCCTCCCGGGGTCCGCCGCGACCCCGGAGTGACCTCCCTGACCCTGCCCGGCCTGGCCCGGACCGGGTCGGAGCTCCCCGCCCTCCGCGGTTCGGCCCGCACGCAGGTGGCTCCCGGAGGCGGGGCGGGCGAGAGGAGGCGGCGCTCGGCCCGGGCCCGCTGGTCGGCTCGGTCCGGCCGGTGGCGGACTCGGGCTCTGGGCCCGGCCGGCCGACTGCTGATTCGTCCCGGAGGCCGTGGCCTCCGCGCCCCAGCTCGTACCGCGCACTCAGACAGGTGGGGAGGTCGGTGGCGCGTCGGTCACCGCCCCGAGGCCAGAGGCGCTGCAGGCCTCGGCTGCCTTCAGGCTTTGGGCTGCCGCGGTCTCGAACCACCCGGAACCGCAGGCCTTAACCGGGCTGCACCTGTTGCCTCCGCTTGACAAGCTGCGAGGGGCAGGGTCTCCTGGGGTTGCTACTTAAGACATGCAGGGTGAGGGGGGTGGGGCCGCCTCCGGCTGGAGTTGTCCTCACTGGTTTCCTTTCGTGTTTTGAGGTGTGTGTGCTCCGGTGCACGAGAGGCTGTAATCCGGTCGCCTAGAATGAGGCCTGTTGCCGAGGCCGGTCTCGCCTGTCTGGAGCACTGGCCCGTGCAGTCTGTGTTTTGAAATCTCACTCTGTGTTGAGCACATCCAGGCCGTGGGTGGTGAGGCCCTAACTGGACCCGGGGCCTGTGACCGACCATCTGACTCTGCCGATGGGACTTTTTCCAAGTGCACTGGGTGCCACCAACTGTAAGTTTCCTTTCCGTGGTAGTGAAATGACACCAGTGGCCTGTCGCCTCACTTGTGCCCCAGGCCTGGGGCCTGGCCCCAGGCTGCCTGGCAGGGTTATTTGGGAATGTTTACTGTGTCCCAGAAACTGGCAGCAAGGGCCAGCGCCTGAGAAGAGCCCGGTGGAGGAAATAATGCCCTGATTGTCACTTGGACCGTTGGTGTCTGTGCACATCATGTCTTGGTGATCGTCAGCTGAAGAGAAGAAAGCTGGCTGGTCAGTGGCCACAGGGAAGGGAGGGGAGGGTGGCGGGGGTGTTCAGGGGGCCCCCTGGAAGGCCAGTCCCTGGCCAGTGAACATGTGTGTGGCCTACACAGTTTAGAGATGAGTAGAGAAATGAAAATGGGGGTACCAGAAGCACCTGCTGGGGCCCCTCTGCCTGCGTCTTGCAGGGACACCCTGAGTTCTAGCTGGTAGTCAAGTGGGGGCTCTGCCCAGGCTGGGCTTTCCTGCATGCTGAAGTGGCGCCTTCGGCTGCCCCTCTGGGCTGCTCACCAGCCCCCTCTCCTAATCAGCACACACAGCATCGGCTCAAAGTGAGGAGCCTGCCTGGCTGGCTGGGGTCCTGGGCTGAGGTGGGGGTGTATGGCACTGTCCACACTGCCACTGCTGTCTGGTGGGGATGGGCCTTGGAGGTGACCTGGGTGACATCATCCACTTGCACACAGCCACTCTGAGTGGAGTGTCCAGGACAGAGCCTCCTGCCTCAAACTGGGCCCGAGTGTGTGGCCAGTGCTGGGGAAGCATGCTAATGGCTGGTGTGGGGGAGAGGGAGAGAAGGCTGCTGGTGCCAGTGCAAGAGCACAATCAATAATGCATTGCGAAGATCAATGATGCTCTCCATCCCTTTGCTGCGTTCTGGAAGGACCTGCCCAGGGCGGGCTGGGCGGGCTGCAGTATCCTGATTCACTTAGCTTGGGTCTGTCTGGAGCTGGACCTGGGTCCTCCCTGGGGCATCCCCTTGGTCTCTGGCTTAGCCCTGCCTTTCCCTGGAAGGAAGTTCCAGTTCTGATTGCAAACTGCCCTTCATGTTGAGAATTTGCTTGGTTTCAGGGATTCTCCAGAAGATGCATGGTGGATCACAGAGTACCTCCAAGTCCCCTCCTCAGGCTTCCTGTGCCATGTCCTGGCTCTGAGACTCTTCCTGGGATAACAGTGTGTTAGTGCTGCCCATCCCAGGGACTCATGGGGAGACAGCCTGCTGTCTGCAATTCCCAGCTGGGGCAGTTGTTTCTTGAGCAGGAAGAGAGAGGAGGTGAGCAGGAGTTAGGCAGAAGCCCTGTGAGATGGTCCTGGCCCCCCCATGCGTGGCAGGTGCAGCCCGGCCTGTGCCATCTCCACTGAAGTCCGTGGCTGTCCCCAGAGCACTCGGGTGTGGCCTGAGAGTTGGGCTGGTTAGGAAGCTCACCTACGTCTGGCTGGGAGTGCTGTGCTGGCCACTTCACCTGCGTCTGGCTGGGAGTGCTGTGCTGGTCACTCAGTGTGACCGTGCTGTGCATAGGGGACCCAGCAGTGGTGGGAATTTGTCAGGAAGTGGTGTCTACTGATCACTGTGGATGATGGGTGACCAAGGGTCTTCCCTGGAGCCTGGGGAGTGTTTCATGGGTGCCAGGGAAGGCAATCCTTGGGGTGAACAGAGTGGCTGCTGTGCCTTCTATGGCTCTGGAGCTTGCTCCCAGAGTGTATATGTATGTTCCACACCAGGCTACGTCTGGTGCCCAGTACCCGCCCCAGTGGCCCAGAGAGCAGCCTCATAGCCACCTTTGGCGGGGCCTGTGTGACCCTCAAGACCAAGGCCTGCCAGTTGCTGTAAATTCAAAGACAATGTCAATGAGGGCCGCTGTACCCTGCCTCCGGGTCACTGCAAAGGGGTTCCCTGAGACTGCGGGCTTTGGATAAACCCTGGCTCAGAGTTCTGGTCTGATCCATGTCTGATCGCTGCCTTCAGAATGAGGTCTGTGTGAGACCGGAGGACTTCGGCTGATGAAAGGCCATTTGCAGGGGCCCCTTACTGATGGTGGGGTGGTTGTGTGGGAACTATCTTCACTCCTGAGTGATAAATACAAAGCATTTGCCATGAGATGTTTGAGGCATGCCAGAGTTAGTGCGGGGCCAGAGGAGTTGTCTGGGCAGAGCAGGTGGGGACTAGGTGAGAGTTCCTGGGGTTCATATTCTATTCTGGCCACCTGTGAGTTCCTTTGAAATACTCCATGATTAAAAGTTAATCCAAGAGCCCCAGGCCCGCCCTATGACTTCACCACCATGACTACATGAAGCAGTTCAGGGTTTGTGTTAGAAGACAAGCCCGCGTGTGTGGGGAAGGCGTTGCCCGTCCCCTGCACTCCGCCACGTAGGGCTGTGTATAAGCACTCCTGTTGGTGCTGGTGCCCGGAAGTCCCTAGGTGTCACACACCTGTGTTGTCAGCACTGCTCTGATTGGAGGAGGCAAAACCACAGTGGGAAAAGGTGAGTGTGAGTGTGTCTCAGTGAAGTATGAGCAAGTGTGTGAGTGATTGTGAGTGTGCTTGACAGTGTGGGTATGTGAGTGTGTGAGATAGTGTTAGAGTAGACGTGGAGGTGTTTGTGCTAATGTGAGATGGAGTATGTGGAAGTCTTTCAGAATGAGAGTGTCTAAGTATGAGTGTGTAAATGTGAAACTGAATGAAAATTATCACTGCATGTGCAAGCATGTGTGTGAAAGTGTGTGTGTTTGGAGGAGGGAAGAAGAGGTAGGAAGCTGTGCATTTCTCATCTGTCTATACTTCTGTATTTTTGGTGCTGTTTCGGTGGAATTACTCTTGTAACAGAACAGGTAACCTTAAAAGAGACATCTCTCCCAGCACTGTGGGAGGCTGAGGCAGGAGAGTCAAAAATTTCAGTCAAAGCTCTGCGTGACCTAGTGAGATCCTGCCCAAAAACTAAAAAGAAGGCTGGGGAGGAGCTTGGTGCAAGGGTTCTGAACACCCCCCACACTGCAGGGTGGGGCTGTCAGGTCTCCTACTTTCTCTGGCAGTTTACACAGAGGCACCGGTGGGCCTGTGCAAGTTGATAATGGAGATTTGGCTTCCATGAGGCAATCCATGGATCTGTAATTATTGATCCTCTGTAATAGGCTCTGTGGGCCTGAACGGTGGAGAGTGCTTCCTTCCCTTCCACAGTCAGAAAGAGAAGGCAAGGGCCTCGGAGCCCAGTAGCAGCATCAGCTCACAGCAGAGGTATCACCCTTGAGGCAGGCAGCACCTAGACCGATGCAGTGACCCTGTGGCTCCTGTGCTCCGCAGGTGTGTGGAGCCCCGTCAGCATGCTGGCCAGATGGCTCATAGCATCAGACGTTCAGGTTTAATTGTCATGTTGGTACTTTGCAGTGGACAGTGGGGCTCGGGGTTGTAGTGTGAGCCCTCGGTCTCTAGGGTTCACCATGGCTGGCCTGGGTGGAGCCTGGCGGGTCCTCTGCCATCACCACCCTGCACCTGCACCATGTCTTCTCGGAGAGCCTGATTTTCTCCTGTTGGTGGCGGATCTGATGGGTGATGTGGCGCTGTGAAAATGCCTTCTGTTGCTGGGAGGGTAACACATTCCTAGTTGGGCCTGGGTCTGGCTGAGTGTCACTCTGACCCTGTGTTTGGAACATGCTGTGTTGTCTTTAGGTTGTTGTCATCCGTGTCAGCCCATGTTTTGAGTTGGGCGTGCCCAGGGTGCCCTGCGGTATCCTGTTTCCTGTGCGGGACTGGGAGGGCCTGTGTCACAGCGGGGTGGCTGTGCAGCACCCGCCTCACTGCAAGAGTGGCACTGTCCTGTGTGACTGCACAGCCTCTTTGTCCCATCCAGACGTTCTGCAAGTCCCTCACCTCCCAGGACCCAGGGATCCCAGCCACAGGGCCAGCACCTCCAGGACCTGGCCTGTGACATCCTATCTTAGGCTCCTGACAGAAAGGAACCATGTACAACAAAGCCGCCCTTATCTGAGGGGGACACTTGCTGAGACTCCTAGAGGATGCGTGAGACCAGACCCTGCTGAGTCCTATAGAAACCGTCTTTTCTCTGTATACATGTACCTGTGGTAAGATTTATCTTCTCACTTGGGCAATAATTAACAAAACAGAACAAACCTAACCATGCACTGTAATGAAAATTGGGCAAAACTTAAGAGTTGGTTATGGAGTCTTCTGATATTTTTGGATTATGGTTAATTGCTGGTAACTAAGACTGCAGAGAGCAAACCTGCAGGTAAAGGGAGTCGTTCATAGTCTCCTCCACCTGACAGATGTATCTGCTTTGTGAAATTTCACTGCTTGCTCCTGAAAATGTTTACTGGGGGCCATGGACAGCAAGGAGCCCAGAGCCTGAGGCCCCACCCTCTGACAGCTCGGGTCACAGAGAGAGGGGAAGGCCAGCAAGATGAGGTGCTGGCTTTAGTCCTGGTTGGGTAGGGGATGTGTGGTCAGGGCATTTGCAATTTAAAATCCAGTGGCCGTGGGCCCCCCTGAGACAGTGCAGCAAGAGGTGAGGAATGTGGTCCTGGCCACCAGGTGTACCAGGCGGGATGGGGAGGCGCTGGCATCTTCAGCATCCACAGGCGGGCTCAGCTTGGGTTACCAGGCACCACTCACCTACCCCATAGCAGATAGCTAGGTGGATGGATGGGCCTGGTGTGTGGCAGGGGTGCACCCCAGCTGGAATACACAGTGGCAGTGACACGGGAGTTTTGACACCTGAGAGCTGGGAGCTGTGGTGAGGCTGCGGTCACGTTGGGTCATAGATGAGGTTAGAAAAGATGGGTAACAAGGCTGAGTTTGTCCAGCTGCAGGGTACAGGGGTGGGGACCTGTCCAGCCGAGCTCCAGGCTGCATTGTGCTCGGAGAGGGAAACAGGCTAGGGTGACCTGGTAGGCGTGACCAGTAGCTAGGCTGACGGTGGAGCCCTGTCCCCTTCATGTTTCCAGTATGCTCGGAGTGTCCTCCTTTTGATGCAAGGCAGCTGTGCTGGGCCTCCATGAGGGTCCCTCAGAGCTCAGCTCTGTGTGCACTGTATACTGGAAGGATCTGTACTCACACCCCGGTCCCTAGGAACTTGAGACAGGTCAGGGCTCTGGGGTGCAGCTCCCTGGGGACTTCCTTTGCCCCTTTGCGCTGAGACCCCACATTGTCACAGGTCTTCATAGAGTCGGTTGTTGTAAATGAGTTTCTCCAAGAGCTTCAGAGTGGAAAGGTGCAGTTGTCTGTGTTTGGCCTCAGGGGATGTGTCCCAGCCCGCAGTGGGTGGCTGGGCCTGTGGATGCACTAAACCCTACGTGCACTGTGCTTTTTTACACAAACTCACCTAGGGTGAAGGTAAATTCATAAGCCCACTAACAACATCAACAACAATAACTAATAATCAAATGGGATAATTTTAACAATATTTGTGACAAAACTTATGAGCATATTTTTTTCTCTGTCTCATAAGACCCTGTTATACTGTAGGTCTTAGCATTTTAGTACGGTTACTCTTTTTCCTTAAGGTGAGATTGCACCTTTTTAGCTAATGGGAACATTTGTTGACTTCTCTGTGGTATATCCAGATTGTTGGTATCATTACTTTTATGTGTGGGGACCATAATTAAGCAAAGTAGAAGTGATACTTAAACATAAGTACTGCCAGTATTGTGATAGCGAGTCTAATAACTGAGACCGCTATAAGTGACTAACAGGAAGGTAGTATATATACCCTGGATACACTAATGAAGGTGGTTCATGACCCAGATGGGATGTGATGGGATGGAGTGAGCCTGTCATGGTGTGCAATTTAAACCTAATGGGTATTCCCAGAAATTTCAACTTAACACAGTATTTTTAGAGCATAGTTTGCCACAGATAACTGAAATTGCAGAAAGCAAGACTGCAGATAAGGGGATACCTCTGTGTATTTTACACAGTTGTATTTAGCTTCCTTCACACTCCATAATACTTCTGAGAATCTTAGGTGCTGCTGGTACAGTGTCTCTCTATTGCTGGGTGGTATTTCTTGTGTGGTTGTACCATGGTCTGTTTAGTCACCTATTGCTGGATGTTTGGATTATTTCCTATTAAAGGGTTGTGAGCTGAGGCTGCACAACAGAAAGACAAACAACCAGCAAAATGTGGATAAACACAGGGCCAGAGAAGATAAACAGATGGCCAAGAAGCTTGTGAAAAGATGTTCAGTCTCATTCGTCTCTAAGAAAGTACAAATTAGAACCACTGTGAGATTCTTCCTGTAGAATGGCTTTTCAAAAAA